GAGTCCTTGATGCCTCCAAGAGTCTGGTTATTAGTGAACTTATGTCCCGGTCCAGATGGGCTAGGACCCGAGTCCTTGATGCCTCCAAGAGTTTGGTTATTAGTGAACTTATGTCCCGGTCCAGATGGACTAGGACCCGAGTCTTTGATCCCTGCAAGAGTCTGGCTATTAGTGAACCTGTGCCCCTTGCCACTGAGACTGGACCCAACATTCTTAATCCCTCCTAGTGTCTCATTTTCCATGAACCCGTGTCCCTTCCCTCCAGGGCTTGGTCCGCCATCCTTAATGCCCCCAAGGGTCTGACTATAAGGGAGGTTGTTCCCCTCGCCAGGAGGACTAGGACCTGACTTTTTCATTGCTCCAAGGCACAATCCATCAAAGATATCAGCAACCCTTTTCCCAGAATACTTTGGAGACACAGTCATGATATCAAAGGGATCACGACCTTCAATCTCAAGAAAAGTTGAATTCAAAAATAAAAGAACCAAAAAGAAGGTGAAGTATTTAGCTAAAGCATTCATGTTGGGAAATATGTTTTATTTCCTGAGTTGGGTTAATGTGTGATGGTCCCATGTGCAAAATGAGTTATTTATAGGCGTGGGGGAAGAACTGCTTTCTTGACTATGGTATCTCCCAGCAACAATAACATTCAAAATTCAAACAACGAGTTGGATTTAATTTCCAATACCAAATATTCAAAGAAACGTGAGGGAAATACTTGTTAGTGCTAAGGAAACATCGAGGGGGTTTCATTGGCTTTGGGATGTTTGGGGAACAAGGAAAGAAGAATTATAAAAAGCTGAATACAGCTACTCTGACATATTTTACTTGTCACTGTATATATTTTAAAGTGATATTTTTTTTTAACAATTTATAATTATTTACAGGATTAATTGAGAGAATGAAAAAAAGGTTTCCGAGGGATTTGAACGTATAACTCACCGAAAGTGAACAGCTCTAACTCAGAGTTCAATGTCACTTAATCAAAATGGGTCGTTCTTAAAGTGATAATTTTTTACTATAAAATATGAATTAATAATAATTTAATTTTTTCATAAAATAAAATTATTTAATAAAAATTAAATATTAAAAAAACCAAATTGTTATTTATATATTATAAAGAAACATAAGTAATAAATGCGTAGATTACGAGTCTAAGTTGGAGAAGTGAAGTAAAGAAAAAAAATGAGGTTAAGATGGCAGCTTTGCTAATGAAATGTTGAAATTTGGTGGCGCCGAGTGACCAGAAATTCCTTTTTCTTGCCCATGAACCGGGCCAAAGACCACCTATTAATGTTTGAATTCCAACATTTGATACGTGGTATTTGATGGTGTATATACGAGAAATTTAAGGTTTGACTGGTCAGTTTCAAATGGTTTTTGCTCATAGCGGATGATCGATTTGGACTGGATGAAGAATTTTATATTTTATATTTCTAACTCTTCCCAGATTTTCCCAAGCATTGCGTATTCTACACCAATCAATTTGGTTAATCAAGTTTAAGATTTGAAATTCAAAGTTATATTAATGAATGGTTCTATAGGAATAATATTTTTATATTATTTTTTGATATAATTTTTACATATTATTAGATGAATGAATATATTTAATATAAAAAATTATATATAAATATAAAAATTAATAATTTAAATGACACGTTAAATTATACTAAAATGTGATATAAAAATATTATCTCAAAATTATTTTCCTATACTAATTAATTTAAGCTTAAATCATTTTCATTTTTTTGCCATTCCAACTTTGTAAGATAATAAAAAACTAGTACATAGTTCAATTGAATGAAAGACATTCTCTTTATTTTTTATTTTATATGCTATTACAAATCTTTTTATTATGTAATATTCTACCCGTTTAATTTTAATAAACTCAATTTTGAGTAGTAATTTAGAGCGTTTAGATTTTTAAATTTAATTGTTCATTTGTCTTTTTTTAATAAAATATTATTTAATGCATTTATATTTATTTTATCATATTTTAATAAAATAATTATTACATACATTAAATTAGAAGACTTATTTAAATAAAAAACTAGACTCAAAGAGAGAGAGGAATTTTATGAGAATGATAGGTATGATCAAATTTAAATAAATTTAGAATAATCATTGATGATGGACTAAGTCTCATATTAACTCATATAATCAATTATTGAGATAATTTTGTTCTAAAATTTAACCAAAAAATCATTGCTCACAATTTTGATTAGCTTTGGAAATGGAAGGAAATTGTTTTAGATACCACACACATAATATATGGATGTTGTTGTAGTAATCAATTATTTTATTAAAATCACTAAATTTTATTTAAAAAAAATATTCATTTTAATTAATTTGATTATTACAAGTAATTAATAATTAATAAAAAATACATATTTATTATTTAATAAATTAAATTAATTTAAAATTTAATGTTTTTAAATATTATAATTATTTATTTAAAAAAATATAAATATCAATTAAATTTTAGTGATGTTAAAGAAAAAAATTGGTAAACAGACAGCCGGGTCGGGTGGTTTCAAGTACGACGGCGTTCTTCCTTTTGACTGTAGTTGTTCTTTTTCCCATATATTAAATAAATATTGTAATGTTTTACACCATATTTTTTTTTCTTTGGACAATGTTTACACTAGATATATTACACGTGTATGATCTGCTTAAATTAGACCAGATATAAAACACTAAACCAATTTTGGCATCGATAAAAAATATATATATATATATATCAATTTTGGCAAAAACTTACTTGTAGCTTTTTATTTTAATAAATTTATAAGTTTTAACTCTAAACTTATACTATGACACTTTTAACCTCTCATTTATACGAATCGAAAAAAATAATCTTTATTTAATATAAGGTTATAATGTTTGTCAGTTGACAGTTAACAATGACAATAACAAAGCTAAAAGAATGTTAACAGTCAATTAACAAATGTTATAAACTGATATTAAATAAATGTTATTTTCTTCCATTTGTAAATGTAATGGATTATTTTCTTCAATTCATAAAAGTGTTATAATATCAGATAATGGATTAAATCTTACAAACTTGTTAGTGTAAAGGATTAAAAATAGATTTTTGCCACCAATCTTTACCTGGCATCTAGGGATGCTTGAATGCAATAGAGGTACATAAACAAATTAATAAAAACGAAAACTTGCCATATTTATGCATACAACATTAATAACTATTTATGTTTCAAAATAATTAAAATTTTATTTTGTATGTTCGGATCAAGTGGTTAACTATTTATCCCTTAAGCAGGAGCACTTTTAGTTTTAGTTTTAATTTTTCATGATGACACTTTTCCCTTCACCTTAGAATATTAAGACTATTTGTAACATGTTCAAAATAAAAATAAAAATTTGAATCCTGATGGTGGTCCATGTGATCAACATTTCACCTACACCATTAAGGTTCAATACTTTTCTCTCTTATTCCTCTTTTCCTTCCCCCAATTTTCGAAGTTCAAAAAATAAAAATAAAAATTTTGAAACAATTAATAAACTTATTTATAAGTTTTTTAACTTGCGTTGTACTTTTTTATCATAAATATAAAAAATAAAAATTAACATTAATAAATAAATGATTATTAACTTACAAGACCACATGTGATTTTATTGTTAACACAATGGTTAACTTGCTCAAATTTAGGTATTTAAGGGCTTGCGTGCTATTTTTTTCTTTAAAGGCTTATATGAAAAAATAGGAAAAGCCCAAGGGCTTAAACATTGGGTTTTACCTTAAAATTGTGCAGTCTACCTTGGACCTTTCTTGATCCTGACGTGTGTATTCTATCCGATTTGGTGGCACGCATGCATTAGCTTCTTTTGAATTCATTGTGAAATGGTGAAGAAAAGTTTTGAAAAATAAAAAAAAAAAGGTAAAAAGGACGGCTGCCTTTGGATCACTGGCACACACCTACAAGTTTGGACTTTGGAGAGTTGACTACTTTAGATAATACTCCTTGGATATTTCTGGGAAAGGACGTGAATTAATTTATTAAGACATCATTTGTTAGTATTGCGTTCTAATTGTAATTATAAATTTTTTAATTTTTCAATATCTTAAATATATATATAAAATATTAATATAACAAATATCCTTAAACTAAGTTTAAATATAATTGATAATTAATATAATCAAAACTATTGATAACTATTTTTGAAAAATTAAAAAAATATATTTAATTTGTAATTTCAAACTCTTAACTATTATAATTTTGTTTGGTTTAGTAAGTTAACAGATATCTAATAATTGATAGTTATGTTGTTTATGGTTAAGTAAGGCTATATTTAGTTTAACTTTAAGAAACAACTAAAATTATATGGTCAATGTTTATTACTTCATTTAATTTTAGTAGTTATAATTTATTTTTTGATTTTTTAGACATAAATTTTAGATAAAAATTTAACAATTTATATAAATAATAATCAAAATTTTTTTATATGAAATTTTTATCGAGTATTTTTATTTAATTAAAATTTTTTAATTATCATTTATATAATATATTAAATTTTATTTAAAATTCATGTTAAAAAAATTAAAGAGTCAAATTAAATTTACTAAAAATAAATTTAAAAATAATATTTAATATAAATAACTATTGTTATATATAATTTAAATACATCATATTATTCATTTGAGTTAAAAAAAAAAATTGTCAATTATTCCCTAACAACTAAATTAAACCGGCCGTAAATCTTTTAATCTGCAACAATCGGTCCCCTTGTTGGTTCTCTTTTAGCCTTTCCTTTATGCCACTAAAAGAGCATAATCAAATATTAATCCATATGCTTTGAATTCCGCATTCTCACCTCCCATTTCATATCCTATATGCAGATTCCTTTTCCATTTAGAACTTAGACAGCAAATTGTTCCCCCTTTTTTTTTTTTCTTAAATTTTCAACTTAGGGGTAAATAATTTCTATATGAGATTTTTCAATGCTTTATCATGTACGCAACCGCTAAACCAATACTAAATTATTATTCCTTTTGTTTTAAAATAAAAATTTGTTTATTATATATCTTAAATATACAAGATAAAAAATAATTATTAGTTAATAATTGTCTTAAAAAATGTCAAACTTTAAAATTAAAAAAAATAAATTCTGATTTTAATTTCAAAATGAATTAAAAATAAACCAATATGTGGCATTTGTAAGTAAAACAAAAGTTGATTTTAATTTTTTAGATAAAAAGTACAATAATTACATAATTATCATTTCTTATCTTATATTCTTAACGCACATTATAGATAAATTCTTTAAAATAATATTCTGTAGACATGTTACTTTAAAAAAATAAAAAGAAAGAGAATTTTGATAGATAGAGAATTAAAATAAAAAAAATAATGATAAGATTAAAATAAAGAAAAAAATGTTTATCTCTTTTAAAATATGAAAAAATGACTATTATTCTAAATTAAATTTTCTATCAAAATTATTCTAAAGTAGATGGAATATTATTATTATTATTATTATATTCATATTTCCACATCAAGTTTTTCTATTCAATGTTAGAACATATCATTGACTAAAAAAGCATTTTTTCTCTTAGAAATAGCAAAATATCACTTTAAATTTTAAATTTGCTTAAGCAAATTGATTATTCAGAGTTAATGCATCTACAATATTATCTTAAAGGTTAGTTTTTTACGAAACAAGTTAATAATATATTTATTATATTTTTTATTATTAATTTGTATGAAAATTATGAAAATAAATTTTATTTTCAATATTAATGAAACGATTCAATTATATGATTAATAAAACTAAAATTAATTTTTATATTTATGTAAATTAAAAATTAAAAAAGTAATAATAATACATCTTTGCCATGAACGCACAAGTTAGGGAATTGCTTAGCTTAAAGTCTCACATTTTGGTATCTGTTAGGTTTCCTAATTTGACAGAACAAGTTGTAAAGTTAAAATTCCGACAAAAACATATGTTAATGTGAAATTCAGTCAAACACGTTCCCTTGATGGAACTGACACACACTTCAAAAAGCCATTAACCGTCCTTTCCCCTGCTTATCAAGACCATCCCTTAAAAATTTTTAAAATAACGGTTCCTCATTCAATGGAGATCTTAAACCATTCTTTTCATCTCCACTATTTTTTGCCAAAGAATATTTCCAAACCTATAGTTTATTTACTTGGGGCTCTAGGCCAAACTCACCTCATCAACAACATCCACAATGAGACACTTCTGTCCTGCTCTTCTCGTCTTCACCACAATCACCATGTTCTTTCTTACACACGCAACATTCATTCGTTGCAGACCACTTCCATCATCAGTGAAGAATGAGGAGATCATCAGCCACGAAATCGTTGGTCAGGTTGAGTTGGACAGAACATCTTCATCTTTAGGCTCGGCGGAGGATAATCCCAGTAGGGTTTTGTCTGAGACAGATGACGACAGAGTTTTTACATTGACAGCAGGGCCTAGCAGGAAAGGCGCCGGCCATAAATAATCTTTTCTCCGTTTTGTTGGTTTATCAGGGTGTGTTACAGATGTAAGTTTCTGTATTTAGCCAAAAAGAAACATGTAGATCAGGATAAGTTCTTGGTGTATAGAAAATTTGTTGATTGTCTCTCATCAAGTTATATAGCTCTGGATGTAATCATTTGCAAATGCTTCAAACAATTTTCCCATGGTAGAAAAAATCAATTCACAAAAAATATACACAAATTTAGTGAATTACATATATATTATCAAATTTTTTTCTCAAGAACTGAACCATTAGGCGACTTATTAAGGCTTTCATGCATATCAATGTTATTACACCCATTATAGCTTAGCAAGGTGTGACTCCTGCTAACTTTAAAGTTTAAAACTTTGGTTTTGATTTGATAGTACGTACATAGGCCAAGGAGAATTAAATGATTTATATTTTGCGTACAAGAGGAAGCATCATTGATGCTGTCCTTGTGTATTTCTGTTCGCTGGAGCTTTAAGCAGACTTCAAGTCCCACAACACATAGCCCATGTTAGCCGACAGGCCTATCGTCTAACACGGGCTACAACCCATATATTGGTACTTCTGATCCAGCCCAGAAAGACTTCTTTTTTTAACATCTATCAATTTTGAGTAAAAGTGTAAATAAGAATTTTAATTTTATATTTTTTTATTTAAGGATATTAACTTTATTAATTTTTAAATAAGAATGACAATTTTCAATTTTTTTCTAAATAAAAGAATAACAAATTACTAAACAAAACAAGAATAAACCTCTGTCAAATTACAAAAATAAATGCGAACAAAATTAAGAGCATTTAATAATTTTACAAAATAAATTGTATGTAAAACAGTTTTCTTTAAAGAAAAAAAAATAAAGGAAATAAAGCAGTTATCTTTCCGTGCATCTCTGATCTCCGACTCCCATACCACCGGTTTCTGAATCCCCTCAGCCCGTTTACCGTTGGGCCCTATCTCTCCCTCCGTCGCGCGCGGCCATCCTTGTGGCTATGACCTCCATCACCTCCACCGACTTAAACTACCTCGTCTTTCGTTATCTTCAAGAGTCTGGTAAGTTTAATCTGCAGCTAGTTTCTCTTAAAGATTCAATCTTTAACCTGTGGAAGCTTCCTTGAATCTCTTTTTCTTATGAACGAATTTAGGGTTTGGTTTTTGGTTTTCAATTTTGTAATTGCCACTTAATCGGCTGCTTTTCACCCTATTTACTGTTAACACTACTTCTATTTGCTTGTTCTCCTGAACTATAACCTTAGGATTTGATTTTTGTATGCTATCATATAGAAAATCAAGTAGTAGATTGTAGATCCGTGGACATCGATGTTTCAGTTCAGCCATGATATATGTATAGGAAGATTTTTTTTTTTAAATTTATTGTTTATTATTATTATTTTTTAAAGAAACCAGCAGCTGGAATACTAATTAGGAAGTTACATTAGAATTGCGGAAGTTCCCATTTTTCAAATCATTGTTCTCTTGCTGAGTCTAGAAGCAGTAACTTGTCATTCCTCAAATGTGATTTAAAAGTTTTCATTCTACTTGGACGTTCCTTTTTATAGATGCTTTTAGTATGCAAGTAAAACAGCTAGTTTGTTTGAACATAACCTAGATTAGTAAGAAAGAATCATTTGCAAGTCAATTTTTTCTTTTCTAATTATTTTTTAAAGTAATTTTGCTATGTTTTAATGCAATAATTTGTGGAATGTATGGAGGCGCATATTGAGATTTAGAAGAGGTTGAAACTGTTGGCAAGGGGGCAGCTTTTGTGAATCTGTAATGAAACTAATGCAAGATTTTCCTAAAAATTGCCATTACATTTGCCCATTATGTTGGTATATTGATCTTAATGTGGGACTGAACATCCTCAGGTACTTGGATAAGTTTGTTACTGTTTTAAAGCAAAGTTTTGTAGATATGAACTGACGATTGTGATGAAATTTTACCTGCCAAATTCGTTGCCTAGTTCATGGCAATTGCTCCAGGGACCTTTGGTTATTGGTTAGATTCCTGAAATTTGTTAGGGATTGGGGGACCTTCTGTCCCCCTGCACCCAAACCAAAAATAAGATCAGGATGGATTAAGAAATTGATGTCATCATTTGCAGGATATGATATTAATTGCCTAATAGTAGCGGAGAATGTCATTGTTGACTAAGTTTATAAGTTTCCTAATTCCTATAGATTGGTTGTTTGGTTTTAGAGGCCAGCATGGTTGGAGGGTATTACAGTTTTTATGTTTCTGTTTCTGCTCCTTTTTGGAGTAGAAACATGTTCTTATCTTCTTCCTATCATGCTCTTGCAGGTTTTATACATTCAGCTTTTACTTTAGGATATGAGGCAGGTATTAACAAAAGTACTATTGATGGAAATTTGATTCCACCTGGTGCTCTCATTACGTTTGTTCAAAAAGGGCTGCAGTACTTGGAGATGGAAGCAAACTCAAGTAATGTTAGCGTGCGTGATTTTCATGTTTACAATATCTGTATTTGGTTATTTGAGAAGTCATTTTGCTTTTTATTTGCTTTCCCCCCATTGGGAGGGATGCTTGAAGTTCTTATCTTCATTATGATTTGTTTTAAGCTTGCAGGGGGATGCAGATACAGATGAAGATTTCTCATTCTTGCAACCTTTGGACCTAATAACAAAGGATGTTTATGAACTGAGACAAATGATAAAAGAGAGAAGGAAAAATATTCAAAAAGATAGAGATAAAGATAAGGAAAAGGATAAAGAATTTGACAGGGAAAATGATGGTGAGCGTGAGCAAGGGCGAGTGAGAGAAAAAGAAAGACATGAAAGGGATAAGGAGCGTGAAAAGGATAAAGTAAAGGTAGAAAGAGAAAAGGAGCAGGAAAAGCAGCGTGAAGAACATGCTGATGCAGAAATGGTTATGGAGCAAGAGGATAAGGACAACATTAAACAAGAAGAAAATGGAACTTCAGGAGGTTAGTTAACTTCAATCTCAAACTTCTCATTTCTTATCTTCTGTTTTCTTTCTTTTGCTCAAAACATTTATTTTCATTGAAGGTTTGAAGTTTACCATAATTGTATCCTAACATTGATTTCCAGAATGTTTTCTCTTAATCAGTATTCTTGTAGTGTTTATCATTGTTTTCCCATATGCAATTTTTGATGCGTTGTTGTCTTGCAACTTGTATATGGTTCTATTTTTCTTTTTAATCATGGGCGAGGAGAGACATAATTGGGATGCTACTTTGTCAAAACTGAGTAACAAGTGAGATAATAGTATTCCAAAAGTGTCGAGTTTATTTGACCAGAAGAAAGCCCTGAGCTGTAATAATTAATAACATTAACAGTTACATATTAGATAGAAGGTTGTAGGCTTTGGATGGGAAATATTTGTGTCTTCAGTCGGAACACCTTCACTTAAATATAATGTTTAAACCGGCTAGGGTATATTTTAATTTAGTATCTTGATTATCAAGGTTTATTTAGATTGGTATAGTCATTCCAACAATTTTCATTCGTGCTGCATGGGTAAAAGAATGTAGCTCTATTAAATTGCTGAGTTATGTTTGTATCTGCCAGTGCTCTATATTTCTATTACAAATATGAAGTTCAAAGATGTTTGGTAATTTTGACAATAGGGCCAGAACCAATGGATATTGTGACAGCCTCTACCTCAACATCTCAGCCTTCTCAAATTCCTAGTTCTGATGTGACAATTCTGGAAGGACATACTTCTGAGGTTTGATTCTTTTACCAAACTGTCTTGCATACCTTGATGGACAAACACACCTACTGACACTTTTGCATCTCCTTTTTTTCCCTTCTAATCAGTTCTTGATTTATGTCTTCTTTGCAGGTTTGTGCTTGTGCATGGAGTCCAACTGGTTCACTTCTTGCGTCGGGGTGGGTAAAATTTTTTCAACTTTTCTTTTGTTTAGCTTAAACAGGAACATAAAATCACAATTAGTTGTTTGATGTGAAAAAATAATAAATCAAAATCCATTTAATGGACTCAACTTGTGCTTCTGTGGGACTGTTTCTTAGTATAATTCTGCTTGTATTCATGCAAAACTGGGGATTTAAAATCATCTGTTGTCAATTAGATTGTCCACAATTTTTATGCTGTGCAGAATCAATTGAGATACGGAAGCACCATGCTTATGGTAACAATACCAATTGTTTCTTTTTTTCCAAGTCATTCTTATGTTACTTTACATGTCATCTAATTCAATTGGTAATGTCATTGTTCTGCTGTTTGAGGGTTGCCTAGCTCCCTTATTATTATATCTATTTCATTCTTGTTTCCTCACTTAAGGTCTGGAGATTCAACTGCTCGTATTTGGACAATAGCTGAAGGGCCTTGTAAACCAGGTGCTCAGAATGGCCCATTAAATGTTTTGGTGCTGAAGCACGTGAAAGGAAGAACAAATGAGAAGAGCAAAGATGTAACAACACTTGATTGGAATGTAAGATTTGTTGCTTTTCTGTGGCTTTAGTCATTCATGAAATATTTTAAAACTTTTCAAATCATTGTTCTCTTGCTGAGTCTAGAAGCAGTAACTTATCATTCCTCAAATGTGATTTAAAAGTTTTCATTCTACTTGGACGTTCCTTGTTATTGATGCTTTTAGCATACAAGTAAAACAGCTAGTTTGTTTGAACATAACCTAGATTAGTAAGCAGGAATCATTTGCAAATCAATTTTTTTTTTTCTAATTATTTTTTATAAGTAATTTTGCTATATTTTAATGCAATAATTTGTGGAATGTATGGGGGTGTGTATTGAGATTTGAAAGAGATTGAAACTGTTGGCAAGGGGGCAGCTTTTGTGAATCTGTAATGAAGCTAATGCAAGATTTTCCTAAAAGGTTTTAACCATGGAAGTGGTATGGATTGGTAGCCTTCAGTTGAAAATCCTCTTCTCAAGGGTGCCCCTATTCCCTTTAGTCCATTTTCTAAGCTCTACTACATGGTTAACATGAGTGAAAGTGAAACTTGACCATTATAGGTTTTGTTAAATGACAACAATTCTTTGGTTAAGGGATTTGGAGAGAGAGCAGTTTTGTGCAATTTGAATGTAGGCAATTAGGTTCACTCATCAACAGATGGCACTGATGGTGGGAGCATGGTTATAGCTATTTGATCCATTCAGTTGTACTATTTTTATTTGTGGCATTTTTCATTTAATGATTTAACGCTAATATTTTGCCCTACCACTCGTTTTATAATTCTGTAGAAAAGTTTTTAGTGCTGTTCAGTGTTTTTGGGTAAACATACCTCTAGCTGCCACCTATTTGCTTGTCATTATTTCCTATGGAAAAAGGTTGATTTTTTTTTTTTTCAATGTATCCAGGGAGAGGGAACATTGCTTGCAACAGGTTCTTATGATGGACAAGCAAGAATCTGGACTACAAATGGTAAGTTGTATGGGGTTGATTTTGTTGATGCTGTTTTATATTTGAGCAGCAAGTATGGTTCTTTGATATTCTTGTTTTCTTCGATAAAGTTTCCTTTAGGATTGTGTGAATCAAGGAAAGTTATTATTGACCTGATAAGAACCTTTCCCTTGTTCTTCCTGATTTTTTTCTGTACCAGGATCATATGACAACATTGAATCATTTTGACCAACTTTTGTTTACTGGTAAAGCCTAGGAGATTTTATAACTCTATGACCTGAAATAGCTGTTCTGAAGGATATCATTACCATGCCTTTTGCATACTCTTGTATGCATTTATTATGCCTCTTGTTTATCTCTTCTTATTTTGGGGTCTAGGTGAATTAAAGAGTACTTTGAGTAAACACAAAGGACCAATATTCTCTTTAAAGTGGAACAAGAAGGGTGACTATCTTCTTACTGGAAGCTGTGATAAAACTGCAATTGTGTGGGATGTAAAAGCAGAGGAATGCGAGCAACAGTTTGAATTTCATTCAGGTGCTGAGATTGCCTGAATCTTAAATGTTGACTTTCTTTGGATGAATCTCTTCATTCATCAAAATATTCACCTTGTTATCCTTTTAGGTCCAACCCTTGATGTTGATTGGCGCAGCAATGTCTCATTTGCAACAAGCTCTACAGACAACATGATATATGTGTGCAAGATCGGAGAAAATCGCCCTATTAAAACTTTTGTAGGGCATAAGGTTTGTATCTTATCAATCTCATAGTTTGCAAGTTTTTGTATTAGCAGGTTCATAGTCTGGCATCAGGTTTAATTCTGAGCTAGAAATGCCTCCATAATGCATCTTCTGCATACTAGAGTTGACATCCTAAAGTTGAATATAATCCTCAGGCTTTCTTTCCTTTTTCATTTTATAAAGGAACAAAAAATGGGATTGATTGTTTTTCTAGTGTGCATGTTATGGAATCTGTGGACTCTACCACCATACCTAGCGTCTCTGACAAACAGAACCACTTTGCCTCCTCCTGAATTTAAAATTGATTTCCTGTGGTAAAATGCAAAGGATTGACATTGTCATTCTAGCCTACTGTAAACCATGCAGTTCTCCAAATCACTCCATTACTTCAGAAACTCAAAACCTGTTGAATTTTAAGCATGGGGGAATATTTATAAGAAGCAGATATTAATCCTATTTAAAATAAGATTTAAGATCCTAGGGATTTGATAAATAAAATAAAATCTTGTTTGATAAAGACTCAATAATAACTCTAAAAGACTTACGAAACCTAATTTGATTCTGACGAAGACTGAACCATAATAGAAATAGGAAAGTAATTATAACCTAAAATAAATTGCAAACTAATACCTAAATATTCATAATTACATAACAAGCCTATATGATTTAGAATTTTAAATTCTTTCCATTGATTTGCTGGATCACTTATCTTTTGAGCTTTGTGCTATTTCAGGGGGAAGTAAACTGTGTCAAATGGGATCCAACTGGTTCATTGTTGGCCTCTTGCTCTGATGATATTACTGCAAAGGTTACATATTTGTTACCTTTTTGTAATTGGTTACCAACATCCTTGGTTTTATGAAATACATGGTCTCTATTTTAAACTTTTTTTTCTCTGTTTTTGAGGTTAAGAATTGTATACGAGATTGTTTCATTTTCTGTGATTTGTTTATCTTGGTTTCAGTCTATCTAATTTTTTTTTCTAAGGCTTTTTATATAGTATGCATTATTTTACCTTTTATTTTTTACTCACACAAGTTGTGGTGCAGATATGGAACGTGAAGCAGGATAATTATGTTCATGACCTGCGGCAGCATTGTAAGGTACTGCTGCACTCAGCTTTTATTTTCATTTTTACCAAGTATTGTTTCTGCATTCGAGTGGTACATAATGTTTTCTTGTGTATTTGACAAAGATTTGTACAACTAAACCACAGGAAATATATACCATCAGATGGAGTCCTACAGGACCTGGGACAAACAATCCCAACCAGCAGTTAATTCTTGCAAGGTGAAAACAACGTTTGACCATATTGATATAATTTTTTATCGTTCACTTGTCAGACTTTGTATTGGAATTTAACATTCAAATAATCATTGTTTTTTAATTGTGCTAGTGACATGAACTCATAGTGGTGTAAAATTCCTTTCTCTTAATAATGCTTGTTTTAGATTTCTCCTATATGTTTATTATGATAGCCTATGTTTTGGTCTTATATGCTGTGTCATGGTTGTGATCCTTTCTGGTTCTCTTTTCTATGTAGTGCATCATTTGACTCCACAGTGAAGCTGTGGGATGTGGAACAAGGAAAGCTTCTCCACAGCTTAAATGGACACAGGTGCTGGAACTCGTCTCTATCTATTTCTATGTGAATAGTGAAAGAAAGAAAACATATGTTTTTGGTAAAAAGATGAGAAGATATGTTTCTATAGAAATCATCATTCATCAGTTCACTTAATATTCCATAGTCTAATGTTAGCTGAAATAAAATCAAATTAAGCATTAATGATTGGCCTCCCCTTTCTTTTGTCATCTCCTGGATGTTTGGGTTTTTGCTTGAACCCTTTCCTTTTGTTGGTACTCCTGACTGTTTTATGAGTTGCTGTTTTTGCCAAAGTGGTTCAAGGAGAGCCTTGTAGAGGTTTAAGTTAATCATGCCTTTTTTCTGGCCTTCAGAAGTTAATTGCATTTTGTTTTGGCTTGCAGAAGTTAATCATACTTTTTTGGGGGGCTTCAGAACCTAGTCATATTTGCGCTTTTATTATTTGTTCTTTGTAACAACAGTTACTGCATCAGCCTTGAATTGGTTTTTGATAAATTTCTTTTAAATGAACCATCAGGGATCCTGTGTATTCTGTTGCATTTAGCCCAAATGGAGAGTATCTGGCCAGTGGATCCCTTGATAGATCCATGCATATCTGGTCGTTAAAGGAAGGAAAGATTGTAAAGACATATACGGGCAATGGGGGTATATTTGAAGTATGCTGGAACAAGGAAGGCGACAAAATTGCTGCCTGTTTCGCCAACAACACAGTATGTGTCTTGGACTTCAGAATGTAAAACTTGACAACGTCGGACTGAAACCATGCTGATGGAAGTGCAAACCTAGACGCTTGGTCTTAAAAATTCATGCAATTTATATTTTGATTGGAATGGGAAAACTATAGCACAGCTAGGTAGGCAGAATTGTAGCATTGATGTTGGAATTGCTTTCTGAATTTGATTTTTTCTTTTTTAAGATATAGCTTTTGCGGAACAGTCAGCAAAGCATCCGCTCTCTATCAGCCGCCTTTTCAACAAATATTGTACAGTATATTTACTTTGTTTGATGCAACATCTTTTCTGGTGCATGAAGTGTTCAAGCCTGAGCAAAGATTAATCTTGTACAAATGTCTAGCAATGTCTACGGTCATAATCCCGAGCAATTTTGTCATTAAAGCATTCACAGCATTTTGAAATTGCGAATCACCAGTAGTCACCACAAGAGCATGCACCGTTCTCAAAATGGTGGAACCTGTTTCGATCCCTTGTTACAATTCTCCGACCAGTGATCTTTGATATCAACTTCATCACAGCATGGCAATCAGAACACACCCGAAGGTTCTTTACTATCCTGATTGTACTCCCTGCCTGTGTACTGAGAAGCCCAAAAGCAAGGGCGAGCTTTTCACTATGAACTTCAAGCAAGAGCTCTTTCTGCACAGCCCCTATGTCATGCAGTACAGTATCTATTTGCGGTGTGTAACCATTAGCTCTGACCCAACCATTCATTTCGTCCAACTTCTTGTATATATCTTTGCTTCTTGGGTGTTTCATATCCCCAGCTAGGAACGTATGCACTTTGTTTTTCACTTCAATTGAGCTAAAACCTGGCTCCTTCTCCACCCCACTGTCTTTCATCAAGGTCCTTACCCTCGCCGCTGCTTCCCAATTGCCTTTTGCGGCATACATGTTGGCAAGTAGAACGTAAGTTCCTGAATTGGCCATATTCCGGCTAACAAGAAAGTCAGCAATCTCCTCTCCTAAAGCAAGATTGCCATGGAGTCTACAGGCACCAAGCAAAGCTCCCCATAAGATAGGATCCGGCTCTATCTTCATGTTCATTGCAAGCTCGTGTGCCTCTTCCAATCGCCCAGCACGACCAAGTAGATTTACCATACATCCGTAATGCTCAATCTTGGGTTCAACTCCATACTCATCCTTCATTGCATTGAAAAAGCTCCATCCCTCACTGACCAGCCCAGCATGAGCACAAGCACTTAAGACCCCGATAAACGTAATATCAGTAAGCTCTAACCCTTTCTGGCACATTTCATTGAATAATTGCAATGCATCTTCGCTAAATCCATTCATGGCATATCCTACTAGCATCGAATTCCAAGCAACAACATCCTTGTCATTGATTCTATCAAACACTAACCTTGCATCCTCCAAACTCCCACATTTGCTATACATGGTTATCAAAGAAGTTCCAACACGAACATTCATTTGAATCCCATTGTTCTGAATATAAGAGTGTATCCACCGACCTGATTCTAGAGCTCCAATCTGCCCACAAGCAGATAAGACAGATAAGACAGTGATTTCATTAGGCCTCACTTTTGCTGCCAACATTCGCCTGAAAAGTACCAGAGCGTCATTCGGCATTCCATGTTGCGCGTACCCATCAATCATAACATTCCAACACACTACGTCCTTCTCTACCAATTCATCAAACAACACTCTCGCCCTCTCAAGCTCTCCATGCTTCGCGTAACAGGTAAGCATGGTCGTTAGAGAAACCAAACTCCTCTCAGGCATTCCATCAAACAATTGTCGAGCAGGCGCGATGTCGCCCCCTCTTGCATATACATCTACAAGACCCGTCCTCACGTACAAATCTGAATCGAACCCATATTTAATCGCCTGACAATGAAGCATCTTTCCATGCTCAAGAGCACAGGATTTCAGGATAGACGAGAAGGTGAACTCGTTTGGGGTGACACCCTGGGAGAGCATTTGGACGTACAAGAAGAGGGCTTGTTGATCGAGACCATGAAGAGCATGGGCATTGATAATGGAGGTATAGAAGTAGATGTTGCGCTCAGGCGTTTGATGGAACAGAACAAGAGAGTAATCGAGACGTCCTAGGGAGGAGTAAGCACGCTGGAGCTTGAAGTTAAGAGCGGTGCGGTGATTGAGGTCGTGCCGGAGAAGAACAGCGTGCACTTGAAGAAGATGGTGGATCGATTTGGACTTGTCAATGAGAAAAGCGAGATTGTCAGGGGATGGAGGAAAGTGGGTCGTTGTGGTGCTGGTTGAAAAGAGAGATGAACGGCTTGTGGCGGAGGGTGGTGGTGAGGCAGTAAGGACAGGAGTTGAGGACATACTTCTGGGTGCTGTACTTCTAAATTCTCGACGCCATTAACACTTCTTGGAGCATTAAGACTGAACCTTTCTGCAAAAAGTATATGGATAACACATGGTATCGATGTCAGGGTAGAGGAGAAGATATTCTCCTGATGTTTTGGATCGGCCTAATGAATTAGCACCGGTAGGCCCATACTTTTATTGGGCTACTGGTCCACTCTTATTTCGAGCCGGATTCAGATCCCCGACGCCCACGACATGTCTAGGCGCTGCCGTGTCGTCCTCTTCAACTATTACCGTCGCCTCTTTTCTCTCCACGGGTAAACATCAACCCTCACTTTTCCTTTCTCCCTCTGCCATTCATGTTTATGATGTTATTTTGTGGATTTCGTCCAATTACTAATTATGATTTGTTCTTTTGGCTCGATTATGCATTCATTTGTTTAAATATCATGTTAAAATTTTATGATAAAAAATCTTTATGTGAATCAACTCTATATAGTACATTAAGTGATAAACAATATATTTTAACTAAATTTAATTGAATATGAGCTAACTTGATAAGATTTAAGTAGTACATTAATCAATTGGGAGGAACTTTTATCTTTTTTTTTTTTTTTTTTTTTTGGGTTATGTACACCAATTTCTCTGCTATATGTATTTTTGATACATTTAATTCCTACTAATAGGTTTGGTGGTCATGATTGCTCTGTCCTAGCAGTAATCTTTTTGTTATTAAAAGAGTAGATGGGAAGAACGGTTCGTGGTGGTTTAATGACATGAACTTAAATTAAGATTGTTTACCTTTTGTGGGTTGTATGTTCGTCTCTCATGAAATTTTATTTTATTTTTTCAATTAATATGTAAATAATTTTAATATATTTAAAAAAAAAGTGGATAGGAAAGTAGGGAGAAATGGAGAGCAAAGTAGGGAAATGTTCCATTAGGCTAGGTATCTGTTTGTTGGTTAGTGTTACTCAAAATCATTGAAAGCTGGAAAAGACCAGACAGAAGTCATCTTCTTTAGTCGTAGAATCTAGATTCACTAGTAAAAGCCTTTCCTAAATTTAGGCATGTTTGATTGATAAAATAGTTTTGTTAGTGTAACTGGTAATTTGGTTCTTTATGGCACTAGGCTTGTTTGGTTGGCAGGTTTCGGGAGAAACTATTGCCCCAAAAGCTGTTGTCCTCAGGAAACTAAATATTTGGCACTATCATAGGAAGTTAACCTACCGGGGGTCTAAGTCAAACAGTCCCTAAAGAATCAGGGTTGAAGGGCCAGAGTGGGGTAGGAATTTCAGGGTTGGTCATAGAAAATATACAGATTGGTTGGCATGTTGTGGCAACCATTCATAATGTTAAGTTCATAAAAAATTATAAAATTTTATCTTTAAAAATATTTATTTTATTTTATTTTATTGATAAAAATAATTAATATTTCTTAATTAATAAATTAAATTAATTAATTAATTGATGTTTTTCAGATATTGTTTAAGAAAAAAATTGAAAAATTAATAAACTTAAACCCTACCTTTTTGGCCAACACTATTGAACTTTTAATTGCCTTTTTCCTAGTTTTATGCATTGAAGGAATCGCCATGCTATGAACACAGTTGCATGTTAACTTTCCGATCTGGTAGAATCAGGACGTCAACATTTTTCATTTTACAAAAAACTAGCATTACTTCTTAAAGGCACCATAGGATTCATGCTATTTCCCAAGGCAACCTGAGTGCCATATTATTCTTGATCACATGCTGCTGTCAGAATCCTTTCCACATCCTGAGATGCACCACTTAAGGAACTATAGTAATTTGTCTCCTCTCCAGCATGTTGCACTAGAATATGGGTTATCCTGTTAATTTAACCCAAATTCCTACTGTAGGCAGATTGGAGGCAAAGGATTTTTTGCTTCTGACTCAAAAGTGGGGCTGTAGGTGATGGAGCAACTCTCTATTTTATTATATTAAGACAGCACATAATTAGCTGACCATGGTTAGTTGTATTTCAGGTTGAACGGTGAAAACAGATCACTCAGCCTGTTTTAAAGACAGTCTAATCTCAGGCCTTCCTTCACACCTCAGTTGTCCACTTTTGAGGGTCCCTTGTTGCTGAGGTATCAAAACATTGTTTTAATAACTCTTCTTCTAAATAATTGAGTTCTGATTTGAGTTTGACATTCTTTATTACTTTCTTGAAGACACCTGTGATGTCAGAGAATTGGTTAAAATGTTAAAGAAGAAAAGAGTAAATTGAAACGGATGCCTCTCGCTCTCGGTATGGATTGCAATCTCATGCAAAAGAACTAGATCCACAGGAACACAATAATACATTTGGGTCATTTTCTTGAAGTTGGCATTATTGCTCATTCCGTCATTCTATTCCCACACATCAACCCAGTATAAGCTTCCGAGGGAATACATTGGAGTTGGAAATCTGGAATATGCCTGATAAGTTTCTACTTAAAATATTCTTTTGTTGTAGGATTCATGTTAAGTACAGGAAACTACATCATACACAAACTTTTCCAATAAAAAATGCCTATTATATTAATTTTTTTAAAATATATATTTAATGATAAACTATACATGAGAATAATAAATCATACTTATTATTAATCTACTAAATTTTTAATCCGTATTTTAAATGCCCAATTGGAAGTCAGTCTTTCACTTTGTTTATCATATACATAAAATGTCAAGTTGATAGTTTTTTTTTTTAATTTTTTTTTAATTTTTTTTTATTGCTCTTTCTTTTCATTGGCTTCTTGTTGGCCCTTAGTACTTTGTTTATTTCATTGATGTGTGGAGGCCAATCTCCCTCCTTGCTTTTGGAATCAGCACTTCCTTGGCATCCTTGATTATTGCTTATCTCCATCATTATCATCATATGCTTTAAATCTAGATACCAACATATACTTATCCCATCTACCAATAGCATGTTGCTGCTCGATCATATCATACATAGCATTCATTACGTGGAATGTTTCTTTCTTTCTTTTTTCTTTCCTTTTTCTATTTTTGTATCAAAGCAATTTTATCATTTATTTCTTTAGCACATCTGAAATAATATTTTCTGTTCATCCTTACTATTCTTTCCATTTGTAATTTGGCTTGTTTTATGAAATAATTTGATATTTGATAAGACAAGTCTAATGCTCAACACCTGACTCAGCATTCCAACACCACAATTATTTTATCTCAAAGAAGCTTCAGCATCAAAGCTGCTGCTTTCATCACACACCAATGTGGGGAAACTGACCCCTTTTTTTCTTCTTTCTTTCTAATTTGAAAGTTTTATCACAACAGAAAGATTCTGAGAATTCCTACAAGTGGCTCCCAATGCACTTCTCCTACTGTACATTTACATTGCCCACTACATTTAAGATACCCACTTAGATCTTGTTTACAGAATAGAAACTAATTGAAAACCAGACAACCCATATATATATATCGCCCCTACCTTCTTTTCATCGCCGTCTTTGTCAGTTTTTTGGACCCTCTAGTTCTCTAAAATAATTCTATTTGTTCATGAGACATGTGCGGAGCAACCCTAGTAATAATTGTCTTCTATTGAATAATTTATCATCTGATGTTTTAAAAATATATATGATAAAAAAGGAAAAATCATGGGTAAAAGTTACCAGCAATCACTGAAATGAGTTCAATGTTCAGTGACCTCCCTGTTTTCCTCTTTGCAACTACTTAACATCCCTAGCTCTTCCTGTTAGGAAAAAAAAA